ACCCTGGCATAAGCCCCTACTGGGATGGAACCGTGACCTCCTGGTTCGTAGGTCCCTGCTCAACACTGACCCTCTTGATATGTATACTCAGGTCCTTTAGCTGTATTATTTTACATGTACACACACACAGCCCACCTACTCGTGCATACATCCCCATCTTCATTCCCCACGACTCTTTTTCCCTTTCTCTACACTCCAGCTCAGACAGTCTTCCCTCAGGATGTGTCATGCTCCATCCTGACTCATCTTCTACCTGGGCCCTCCTCCCCATTAATCAGAGTAACTCCTGTTCAGGCTTTAAGTCTCCTTTGTCATTTCCTCTACTACAACTTCACAGAAACTTGTGGGTTTCTTTCAATATAGTCATCCCAGTTACGATTAATTGTAATGTCTGTGTCTTGGGTAAAAGACAACCTCTAAGAGAAGAGGGATCTTCTCTTTTTTGTGTTTTGCACAAACTGTCTTCCTCGTGCCTAGTATAGGAATAGCCTAATGAATGTTAGTTGAATGAAAGTATGAATGAAAGATTCTCTTTAAGGTATTATTTGAATATTTTACCAAGTTCTGCTGCTGCATGTGCAGAGACTAATGTCTTGGGGTCCAAATGGAAAGCCTCGTCTTGATATCTAACTGCTTGGCTTTATTTACCTTGGAGATACAGATGCAAATGTCAAGGCTTTCCCTATGAATATTTTGGTGAGCAGGAAAAGTAACAGATGCCTGGAATTTAGGATTAGATGGGAACTAGAAAAAGCCTCTGGCCTAGTTTACTTTGAGAAGGAAGTGATTGGCCCCACTGATCTTAACTGATGTGCAATGGAGATCTCATGGACCATGGCAGGGAAGAGATTTCCCCCAACACATAGACTGTAAGTGGCAAATGGCGAAGGGTTTTCATGAGACCTGGAGTGATTTCATGGAAACCTGGAGCATACTATAATCTACTTCAATATAAGGTTTGTTGATTATTTTAACATAATGCAGTAAGATCATAGTATTTATGAGAGAGGAGCCCCTGGTCTTAGGAGTAGGATGATTTTAACAAAGGCCATCAAGGTGAGTTTGGACCAGTGGAAGATCTAAGTAACGCCCAGAGATCTAAGAGGAAAAGTGCTACTATTGTCAAGGCGCATTGCTGATTTGCTGTGTTATGAAAGACTAGCTCACTGAGACCTGACTCCTTGTAGACAGGCTTATCAGACAGTCCTGCTCAAAACTGTATTTCCGAGTTGGTGTAGTATTAACATTCATGCATGCTTTCATTTTGTCCCACAGACCACTAGTAAGTTTGGGAAATATTTCACCTCTAACCCCTTCTAAGAGAGTCGCAATGTGCATAGCACATTGATGGATAGTCCTGAACTAAGTAAGTCTTCAGCTCGTTTGACTATGAAAACTTGTATTTTGGAAACATTTGTGTGTCAGTCAGGATAGTCTTAAGAAGGCTATTGTATTGAAGAGCCTCTAACCCTCAGTGGCTTAAAATAAAGTTTATTCCTCTCTCCTGCTACATAGTCATTGGTGGCCGACTGGAGATCCTGTGCCATGCAGTCCTCATGCTGGGATCTACGCATTTGTAGGTGCTCTAGCAGAGAAGGTAAATGGGAGGAGAGACTGTTCCATTATGTGACTGCTGGGGTCCAGCCCCAGTGGTCCAGGGGTCCCCAAATGTGTGGACGGTGTCAGCGAAGAATGAAGGACGCGGAGACAGCCTTCAGAGCATCAGGACAATCAGCTTCTTTTTTTTTATTGCCTTGTTACAACTGTATTTATACTATTTGATTTTATTGCTGGTTAAACAACAGGACATCATGCTTTGTTCCGGTTTCTGTTTTGGCCTTTCACAGTTAATATACCTTCTTATCGGACCTTTGCTAAAGAATTTACATCTGTTTAGGTATGTTAATTTTAGTCTTACCTATTGTTTATATTTCTATAGGCTATTCTACAGGTTAATCTCTAGTTTGTTATTTATATTCTGAAGTTACTATTTTATTGCTCTACTATGTAGCTAAAAGGAGAATAACTCAGCCAGCTTTTCTTATATGAAGGCTATTTGAGTCCTAAGTCAGGGCTCTGTAGCCTGCGCGTGATTGTTTTTAGCTCTGGTTTGACCGCCTGTCCTGCACCCAGCCTCAGTCTCCCCGCTGACATTCCCTGCAGCAGTCAGTCCTCACTGTAATATTCTGTGTGTGATTATTCTGTGTATGATAAGGGTCCAGGTGTAGATTGAAATAATCTCTTTCCTAGACTGCTCTTTCCTTATGGGGTTCCCAGAGTTTTCCATTAATATGAACATCCCCCAGTAATACATTCCTCCGTGGGGACTCCCTGGTGGCCTCCCTGTGGATGGCCCTGCGCGGCGAGTCAGCAGGGCCCGGACCCAGGCCTCTCCCCCGGTGGGGAGCTTCCTGTGGTAGTGGCCTAACAAGTCCTAAACTCTGCTGACAGTCTGAGTCTGAGTTCGTTATAGGCGCCACATGATATTTCTGTACTCCTTGGGGCTTTTACTGAATCTTTGTCTTTTCCAGTTCTGTCCGACTCCCCTGCCAGGGAAAAGTTCCCAGCTAGGGCGATGCCCTTTTCTGGTGCAGTGACTCGGGTAAGGACACAGAGCGTCAGGAAGGGGAAAAGCATGGGAAGAGGGATCTGCCAACACCAAGTCCCGTGGAGCACTGGCTGGGCGGATGTCTCCTCCTCGGGATGTGCCAAGCAGCAAGGATGGAACGGCTTCCGGCATGTGACCACTGTGTCCCATAAGCTGGGCCCGGGCCAGAATGGAGGTTGCTTTCCACAAATCCCTCTTAGATACTGTCTGGATGTAATTGATGTATGTCATTCTGACATAAGTTAGCACCTTTCACCTGCCTCCTATGTGCTGATTCCTGGAACAAGCCGTTGTTCTGACCTGGTCAAGCATGTAATTTCTGCACCTGGTAGCACTGTACACTAGTGCCCGTAACTATCCCCCTGTCTTCACACTGTATAATTCTTTGGCACCTGATAAGTGGCCCAGGGAGCCATGTTCTCTTGCAGCCTCCCAAGGTTAAACTCTGTCACCAGACTGGGGTGGCCAGCCCCTTTCTTTTGTCTTTCCCTGCCCTCTCTTCATTTTCAGTCTTGGGGCTTTTCCCTGGGTCCGTGTCTGCAAGCAGTGAGCTCTGGAGGTTTCTAGTCTGAAAGTCACACTTGAAATTTTGGCTCATAACTCACTGGCTAGAACTAGTCACATTGCCCCACCCAACCATGAGGCTGAGAGGTGCTATCCTGCCACACGCCTGGAAAGGAGATGGCCAGAAATAGTCAGTGAACAGCACTGGCCACTACACTTGTTAACCTGACTGAATACCTAGGGTCATTGAAATACAGTTGGAAAACACTGCTATTTGTGGTTTTAAAAATGAGAATTGATAATAATTACTATTCAGGAATGTTTACCACCTCTGCTAAAGTTGCATGACCATACTTAATCAGGAATAAGAAACGGGAAGGTTGATTTTTTTTCACACTTATCTGGGGCGAGGAACAGTGTCAAAAGAACAATTCTTTGGAAATATTGAATGAGAACAACTTCTCACTTAGTCTCTAGTAAATTCCCACAACAGGTAACAAAATCTTTTCCCAGCCAATTTTTCTTTACTTCTCCCCGATACAAATGCTATATAATAGAAAGCATGGGTAATTCCACAACTCAGCCTATTTCTAGGCTACTAGAGGGAAGTATAAATGCCCATGTGCAATGTCTTCACAGATGTGCAGAGTTAATGCAGCCATCAGATAAAATCCCATAATGTTAATGAAGTTGGCATAGAACTCATCTAAACAAAAAATTAAGTGCATTTTTTACTACTTTCATAACCTTAGAAAATTAATTTCTGATGAAGTCTACCTAATCAAATTATCGAATGCCTTGGTATCTTGTTTGAAAGTTGTTCATAATTGTATCACATAATGACACAGGACAAAAAGGCAGTGATGATGTTCAGAAATAGTACCTTGGTTTTAGATGTTATCTCCTGCATACAAAACACAATGAAGGTGCTTTGTGGTTATTTAAAAGTTTTTAGTTCAGTTTCTGTTAGAAATATAGGACATGTTAAATTCATGTCATTTAGCCCTGGCCAGTGTTCTCAGTGGTTAGAGCATCGGCTTGTGGACCAAAGGGTCTCAGGTTTGATTCCTGGTCAAGGGCACATACCTGGGTTGCAGGTTCGATCCCCACCCTGGTTGTGGTGAGTGCAGGAGGCAACCAACCATCGATGTGTCTCTCTTACACCGGTGTTTCTCTCACTCTCCTCCCTCCCTCCCTTCCACTCTCTCTAAAAATCAATGGAAAAAAATATCCTCGGGTGAGAACCAACCAAAAAAAAAAAAAAAAAATTCACGTCCTTTACTCAGCCACCTCCAGTTCCTCCTGGGTTCTTCTTTACATGTTTCCTATATACAATCATAATTAAATTACCTAATGTATGTAAAGTGCTTTGAGAAAAGCTTGGCACATGGTAGTCACTAAATGTGATTTGCTATCATTTGTTATTATTGCTATCATTTCATGTGTGACAACTAGTACTCTGTTTCATGCCCTGCAGAGATTCTAAAGTATGGTTGGCTTTAGCAAGTTCAATCCAGGGCTCCCAGAAGAGAGAAAGTATAATATGCAAGGCATCTTTTATATTTTTTTCTTTTGGGGGGGACAGAATAGGCAAATCATCTTAGAAGTGATCAAAGTGATCAAAAATGTGTTAGGAAGATTTTGTGTGTTTGTACCTCTAGATAAATGTTACCAAGTGATTACCTGAAATGGTAAATATTGAGAACAAATTAAAAAGTTTTTGATAAGTCTACCACAAAGATGTACTGATTAAAACAGGTCCTTCTCATATTGAATTACCTTCAGACTGTGGTAAATCATTTACAGTATTATTAAAGTATTTCAATATATATTTTATTTTTATAATAATGCATCTTGTATGCTCTACTCTCCTTTGGCCTATTATACATTAATCATTCCACTCGCTCAGTGCATCATCTTCACGTCCATGTACTCTTGTTGTTGACTGTTCAATAGAAGTTGACACTTTGTGTCTCACTGCAGTCAGCTCAGAACGTACCTCAGTTTCTGTGGCTTTTGGCTCCCAGAGAGACTTTACTGCTGCCCTGGGAGATAAAACAAAAACAAAAACAAAAAATCTCTTATGTGAAATGAAAACTAAAATTAGATTTATGTTTCATTTTCTTTATATAGTAGTGCCTCCTTAGTCACAATTTATTTTTAGATTGTGGTGCATCAGTTGCACTGTGACAGTAGAGCCCTCAGATGTAACAGGGTGTAATACTCATGCAGGTATTAGAAATATTCTCCTACAAATGCACTGGTAGATTACAATAACCAATTTTGGAGGTTGTCATAACTACAACTGGACAACACAAATATTCATTCAATAAACTTTTTTAAGCAACTACTATGTAAAATTGTAAAAATTGCATTTAAAAGCTCTCTCATGGCTGGGAAACAAGTCATGAGATCAGGTAGCTTGGATTAGGAGAGTTGCAGGAGTTGGGCAGTTTGAAGACACATGTGAGAGGCATCATGGACAGGGCTTTGGATTCATGGGGCAAGGGAGGGTCAGAGAGGAAGACATCGATCAAGGGTGAGACTCAGTTTCAGTACTTCACCTACCAGTTTATAATTATGAAGATCAGTACAAAAATCACAAATATACACATCACAACTCCTATGGTCAGCACAAAAACTAGGACTGCATCAGTGTCTGCTCGTCCTGATTTTCTCATCTGCAATTCTAGAGAAGAAAACACATACCTGATGATTATTACTACTTGGAGAAAAAGGAAATGGATACTTAAATGGAAACTTTATATCTGAAAGACAACTCTAGACATATAACAGAAAGAATTAGTGGACAGCAAGTTATTAATTGCTCTGCACATTTAAAATGTCCTTTTCAAGCATGCAGAAAGCTGAAAGACTTTGACAATAAACACCATGTATTCCTACCACCTAGATACTACCAACAACATTTTGCTATCCATCTATCCATCCTTCCAGCCCATCTTATATTTTTTTATGCATTTTTTTAATCTGCTGATGCTGCAAATTCTTCCAAGCAAAATTCTCCAACTGGTGTATTATTAACTATAGTTCAGTATTTGTTTATATTTTTTCTTTTGAAGTAAAATTTCAAACAATAAATTGCACAAATATCTTTTTTTTTAAAATATCTCTTTATTGATTTCAGAGAGAGGAAGGGAGAGGAAGAGAGAGAGAGAAACATCAATGATGAGAGTCATTGATCGGCTGCCTCCTGCACGCCCCCTGCTGGGGATGGAGCCCGCAACCCGGGCATGTGCCCTGACCGGGACTCGAACCCTGATCTCCTGGATCTTAGGTCAATGCTCAACGGCTGAGCCACGCCCAGCCAGGCGCACAAATATCTTAAATGCACATTTGTTTAGTTTTGACATATGCAAACACACACATGTAATTTAAACCCATATCAAGACAGAATAATACTATATCCTACAAAGTGCCCATGAGCCCCTCCCAGTTAATCCTTGCCCCGTCTTCCAGAAGCCGTACCCGTCCTGATTTTCTTTTCTACCATATGTTAGTTCTGCCTGTTCTAGAACTTCACAAGAATGGAAATATATATTATGTAGTCTTTTGTGTAAGACTTTTAAAATCAATATGTTGATTCACCTATATTAGCAATGTATTAATAGGTTTTTATTCTTGTATTTAAAATATATATATATCTTTATTGATTTTAGAGAGAGGGAGAGAGAGAAATATCAATGAGAGAGTCATTGATCCGCTGCCTCCTGCACGCCCTCTACTGGAGATTGAGTCCGCAACCAGGCATGTGCCCTGACTGGGACTCGAACTGTGATCTCTAGGATCATAGGCGGATGCTCAACCGCTGAGCCTTGCTGGCCGGGCTTTTTCCTTTTTTATTAATGAGTGGTATCCCTCAGTTTGCTTATTCATTCTTTTATTTTTTTATTTTATTTTTTTAAATATATCTTTATTGATTTCAGAGAGAGGACAGGAGGGGAGAGAGAGAGATAGAAACTTCAATGATGAGAGAGTCATTGATCGAGCCCGCAATCCAGGCATGTGCTCTGACTGGGAATCGAACCCCGATCGCCTGGATCCCAGGTCGACGCTCAACCGCTGAGCCACGCCCGGCCGGGCATATTCATTCTTTTATTGATGGACATCTAGGCTGTCCCTGTTTGGGGCTATTATAAGTAAACTGCTGTGAACATTTTTGGAGAAGTCATTCTGTGAACACACATTTGTGTTCTCTTGGATAAATACATAAGAGTAGAACTGCTGGGTGGTAAGGTGGAGGTATGCTTAGTTTTCCAAGACACTGCAAGATTTTTTCTTAAACTGATTGTATTGATTGCACAGGTTTTATAAATTTTCCCTCTCAGATTTTGGCTTGCCTATTTATTTTTCTAATAATTTATTTTAATGAACTGCAGTTTTTCGTTTTGGTGAAGCCTAATTTAGCAATGTTTCCTCTTATGGTGATTGTTTTCTGAGTCATGTCCAAGAAACCCTTGCTTACTCCTGAGTCACGCAGATGTTCTTCGTTTCCTTTTTAAAGCTTTATGGATTTAGCTTTTACTTTTAGGACTATGATACATCTCTCATTTTTATACACGTTGTAAGACAGGGGGTTGAAGTTCATTGTTTTTCAGACAAATATCCGCACACGACTTTTTTTTTTAAATTTCTGTTCAAAATATTACAGATGTCCCTTTTTCTCCCCAATGACCCATTTCACCCTGCCCCATGCCCTCCCCAGTCCCTCTCCACACCACTGTCTGTGTCACTCACCACTTTTAAATCAGGCATTCCCTCCCATATCCCATGCTCTTCTTGCAAATAAGGCTATTAAAGAGACAAAGTCAGTTTGCCATATGTGTTACAACATTGATGCAGTGTAAACTGGTGCAAAGCCAATTTACATCAAGTATTGCTTACTTTGTGAATTATATAGCTTTCTTCTGGCTCTTTCTGGTCCTTAAATCATAGAATCATAAAAGATTTATGTGGGAAAGAACCAGAAGCAACTGTTGAATCGTACCAATAAGCATACCAATGTCCAACGAGGTTTAATGATTTCTGCAAGCTATGTTTTATGTGTTTTAATATTTTAATTTTGGTAAGTACTACTCTACCGGAAGTCTTCTACATGGGCAATCTCAACTGCTTATTTGTCTGAATTTTTCTTTCCATTCTTTAAACACCATGGAGTATAATTTTCCATTTTCCTTAGTAATTCTAGAGTTATACACTCAATTTAGTGATCTCACTAAATAGTTCCAAAATGATAGAGGAATTACATCATATTTATCTTCCATCATTGCTGGACTTTAAAAACCTTTTTAGTTTTGATAATTTTAGTTTATAGAAGCTGTGGGATTTTTAAAGCTCAAATCAAAGACACCTTTTAGGATTAAAACCTGAGAAGAAATGCCAAATTCCTTTCCATTTATCTACTGCCCTGCAATACTGGCCAAGAAAGGGTAGAGAATGAGGGCATGAAGGTTTCAGCACATTTCAATAGTGCTCTTCCTGCAAGGGTGACTTAGGTTGCTTTTATATCTAATAACAAAAAAAGCTGCATTTCCTATTGAAATTTTCTAATGAAAAAATAGGCTGACTTTTTTTTTGGTAAAATTAAGCTTTTTAGTAAAACTAAGCTTATGTTTTCATTAGTTTCCCAGAGCCACCATAGCAAAGTACCAGTGGCTGACTCAAAAACAAAGGAAATTTATTGTCTCACAGTTCTGGAGGTTAAAATTCTGAATACAAGGTATGGGTGTAGCCATGTTCCCTCCAAAGATTCTGAGAGAGGATCTGTTCTGTCTTCTTCCAGCTTTTGGTAGCTCCTGTATTCCCAGGCTGGGGCAGCATAAGTCCAGCTTCTAATTGTTTTCTCATGGCTGTCTTCTCCCACGTGTCTTTGTGTCTTCACAGGGCATTCTCCTCTGTATCTCTCTGTCTGTGTCCAAATTTTTCTCTTCTTATAAAGACACCAGTCATATTGGATTGAAGTCCCACTCTAACAGGACTTTATCTTAACTGAACTAATGACCTTATCTTAACTGAACTAATTATATCTGCAATGACCCTATTTCCAAATATGGTCACATTCTGAAGTTCTGGGAGTTAGAACTTGAAAGTATCTTTTTAGGGGGACACAACTCAATCCAAAACAATGCCTAATTATGGAGGACAACTATTGTGGATGTGAAAAATCTGATATATAAGGGAATGGATGGGAAATTTTCATTAACTAAATCATATTTACCTTAAAAAGATTTCAGTTATATATTTGTTTCAAGCCAGTACCATATTGTGGACATTTATAGTCAACACATTTGTTTGATGTCTAAACAACCCAAAGGGTCTGTCACAGTGGTGTAGCCAATTGTTATTTTAAAAGAAACTATTAAATCTTAAGTGTTCTGAAAATATTTTATCACTTAACCAGGGCATGTACTGAGATAGCAGAGCTACCCCACCAGCCCTAAACTGTGATGACAGGTAAGTAAGGGCTGACATTTTGGGACCTGTGTTCCAGCTCTTAGCTTATGTACTATCAAATGCATGTCGCCTTCTAATCATGGGAAGAGCTACCCACTGAGATGCCCTAACATCTCAAGAATGGGGACAAAGACCAAGAATGCCCCCTGAAACCTATAATATCCTGAACTAGATGCATTGAGATATTTTTTAGTTTGATGATGTTTGGTCCTTTTTTGCCTTTTATAGCACTTTCTTAAAATTATCCTTTCAATAACAATTGTAGTAAGATTATTAGCTTTCACCAGAAAGATGTTTTTTAAAGACACTATACAACATATCAAAGAAAGTTATAAATAGTTAATTTTTAAAAACCATCCCCAAAGCAGTTTAGCTTGTTTTCATTTCAATAAAGGTGTGATGTTGCATGGTATCTCTAGACTATAGCATATATTGTTTACTTGGGATTAAGAAATACCTTCATGAAATCCCTTTAAAATTATAGGTAACTTTTGGCATGATTGTATATGTGGGAATTTTTCTGGTAAAAGCCTCCTGAGCCTTNAGAAATCCATGAAATCCCTTTAAAATTATAGGTAACTTTTGGCATGATTGTATATGTGGGAATTTTTCTGGTAAAAGCCTCCTGAGCCTTAATTGGATCTTAAACAATCCTGTGACCAAACCCCCATTTCCCCAATAACAAAGATAACAACGACAATAAAAATGGTTAAGAGCAACTGAACTAAAGGAAATAATTATTCGGATAAAGAAGATATCATAGTTTAAATTAAAAGGATATGCACACGGTTCCATTTCACAAGAGAAGCAGTTTTTAACGCGTGAAATTATGTTCTGGACAAGATTTCCCTTTTGTGACACATATCGATGACACTTATTGTTTCATCAAAAAATGTTTTCTTCAAATGAGTAATTTTTAAAAAGACATGCCTTGACATAATGCTTCTTAATTTTATTTTATTATACCAAAATTTTTATAAGCATCCATGAGAATTCCATGTATACATTTTCACTTTTGTGATAGAAGTAAAAGTAAGAATATAATCCAAGTTGGAGGATTTTTCGTTGGAGGTATTTCAGGAATATACTAGTTTCCCAAAGTGAGGCACATCTGACTCTACTTCGTGAAAAAGAAGTGAAGCACTGCCTTGTGGAAAAGTCTAAATGATATAAATCAGTGGTTCTCAAACTGTGGTGTCTGCCAGCAGCACCTGGGAACTTGTTAAAATTGTAAATTCGTGTGTCAGTCCCATCCAAGATCTATTGAATTGGAAACTCTGTGGATGGGGCTAGCCATCTGTGTGTCCAGAAGCCCTCCAAGTAATTTTTTTTTTTTAATCCTCACCTGAGAATATTTTTTCTATTGCTTTTCAGAGAGAGTGGAAGGGAGAGAGAGAGAAAGAAAAAGAGAGAGAGAAATATCAATGGGAGAGAGATACATGGGTTGGTTGCCTCCCACAGGCTCCCCAACTGGGGCCTGGGACTGAGTCTGCAACTGAGGTACATGCCCTTGGCTGGAATTGAACCCTGGTCCCTTTAGTCTGCAGCTGACACTTTAACCACTGAGCCAAACCAGCTAGGGCCCAAGTGATTTTGATGCTCTCCATAAAGTTTGAGACAAGCAAACTAAAATATTGTTAGGCACTTACCACTTGATGCATAGACTGTGAATTTGATAGATGCTACTACTTCATTATTTTCCACGGTATTACACTCGAAATCCAAGGGGTGAACTGGCCTATGTACTTCCAGGATTGCTGAATCATTTGAAAGTATAATGGATTGCTATTTTAAAAGAAAAAAGTATCAACATTCTTCATATAAACTTAAGATCAAGAAATAATTTTATATCCTGTAACAAAAAAAGAGCCATTGCTTCTCAGTCTAGGACAGTAATTAATTACGCACATTGATTTTAGAGTCAGACAATCCAGACATCAAGTACCAATTCTACCACTTCCTGCCTGTGTGACCCAGAAGTCACTCTCTGCATTTCTGTTTCTTATCTGTGAAATGGGTATAATATTAGGAATTACCTCATAGGATTGTTATGTGGGTTAAAAGAAACACTAGCATTCGGTGTATGTCTGGCACTGAACAAGCCCTCAATTAATGTTAGCTACTGTTATCATTAATACAATTCCTATGTATACAAATGAAAACCTTGCTTCCAAAATAAAATACTTTATATAAAATGAACATTTTTAAATTCTGATAATAGCTGATTCTAAAACATATATAAGTGTGTAAATAATGTAAAATTTTAAATCCCAATTAACTTCATTTTTGCAAACTGCTTTTAAAGAGAGTTTTCTGGGAGTCATCAAACACTGGGAAACAATTTTTATCACTCACTAGAAAGCATCAAATTACATACATTCATTACTCACTTGCTCTGGCCTTAGAATTTTCCAAATATATTTGAACCGATTTTCAGGAAATGTATGAACACATTCCAGTTTAACACTGTCAAAACTCTCTGATAGTGGTTTACCCCCTGAAAAAAGGGAAAATTAAATACATACATACCACTAAACATTGTAAATTGCTTTATAAATAATACTACTTTTAAAAGCCACCTCCAATTTTAAAATCAATTCTATGCTGGAAGTTATCAAACTTATTGAGAGTTTGAGTGTAGAAAAGCAAAGGGGAGTAGCAGGTAGAAGCAGGTAGAAGGCACCATAACCATAGCAGGGGCGACCAACTCAGTGATCTAATAGACTTTGAGATCTACTAGTGGCTTCCAATTTACTGGTTAGGGACCCCCATTAGAGATAATGAAATCTCATAGTAATGTACTTTGACAGAGAACATCACTTAAAATTTAGGGTATACCAATCTACTGATAAAATGTCATGACCAAGGTGTCAAAAGCATTTCACTATAGGACAGTCTTGACCACAGGCCCCGAGTACAATAAAGTTACAGTGTATTGCAGAGAACATATATTTTAGACATCACTGAAAAATGTAAAGCAAAAGCAGAAGTTATTCAGAGCTATAACTGTCTAAAAGAGTGGTATTTTAAGTTTTCTTATGATTTCCTTTCAGTCTATCAGTTCTACTCATGACAACCTGAGGTTAAAGATTTCCCCAGAGTAAACTCTTCTGCACTCAGTCTCCCTCCAACAGAGAGTCCGACTCACAGCCACAGTCTACTGGTCCGCGGCATTCTTCCACCCGTACAATGCACTTTGATTCACTTCCAGGGCATCCCTTTGTTAATATAACTTCTCTAATACCAACACCTTTGGTAAAAGAAATTGGCAAATGTTAGGAAAAATTAATTCCACATAATTTTTTCTTTACCATCTAAGTCTTTTTTGAGACTTTTCTCCTAATTTCAGAAATTAAATTCCCAAATTCAAGTTTATAACATGTAGAATTTTTTAGACCCCCTTATTTTGAATTATTTCGTGAAACAGCATTTCCCAAAGGGAGTTACATGTAACACTAGTCCTTCTGGTTGTTACCATTAGAAAAAGAATTCCATGATTATACACATTTGAAAATAATATATTAAATAAAATTAAAAAGACCTCTTCAGAATTTGGGGAGAATTTTTTTTTAATACATCTTTATTGATTTCAGAGAGAGGAAAGGAGAGGCAGAGAGAGAGAGAGAAACATCAATGATGAGAGAGTCATTGATCAGCTGCCTCCTGCAAGCCCCTCACTGGGGATCGAGCCCACAACCCCGGCATGTGCCCTGACCCGGAATCGAACCGTCATCTCCTGGATCCTAGATCTATGCTCAACTGCTGAGCCACGCCCAGCCAAGCAGGAGAATTTTTAATATGCTAATAAATTAACATGCTACTGTGTGTAAACTTTCATTGATCTAACATGTAAAATTTTTACATTTTAACATCTTTGAAATCAGAATGCATCTTAGAATTGATGGCATGTCACAAATTGGCAGCATTTTCCTTTTTGGAGGTACATAAATTGTGCTTCTCACAGCCAATAAAGTGGTAGATCTAATGAAATGCAGTAGTACACAGGATCCCCCAAATTTATTTGACCATGGAATTTTAGTAGCAGTAGGGAGGCTTGGAGCTTCTGGAGGAAATTCCAAAATCACATTTTAACATAAATGAAGCTTTTTAATATTTAGATTGGTAATAAACATAGCAAGACAAACTATTAATGATCAAATCTCCATTTCTAACAACATACTCTTTAGAATTGCCACACATTTTTATAACAAGAAATCAAGTCTTTACTATCTCAAGTCTCCAGAGTTTGCCTTTCATCACCAGAACCAATGGAGATAATAAAATGCTGGATCAGCAACATGCTGAACATGTCCCATGATAAATAACTGTGGATGAAAAAGGGGCCACATACCAAACCTGACAAGCTCAGGGGGGCCTTCGTGGTGGGCCTTACAAACTCAAGTAATGACATAGGATGGTCTGAACACAAAAATTCCTAACTAAAAGCAAGTCGCGGTGGGTAGACATGTCCTAGGCCTGTAGCTTCCTTGACAAACGTCAATCTTTAAGTAAGCCTACCTATTATCTTTTTGCATCTAAGATAACATATATTTGAAAAGTCAGAGTAACTCTCTTTTCCAGATCCCTCAAGTGACAACCGCAGGCATGAGAGAGCACAACCACAGAACCGTCATTGTTCTCTCGTTCCTCGCTTACCGTCTCTACAGTTAATTACTAACTATCCTGTACCCACCTATGTAAAAGATGTTTCACTGTTTGGCCTTTCTATCCAGCCCCAGAGATTTCCCTGGATTGCTTTCTCCAGCCCCCTTAATCTACCAGCAATGGATTTCATGTACTTTCCTGAAGTATCCTCCTTTTATTCTGTAAAATAAGCTGCAAAACTGGCATTCTCTGGAGCATTTTCTCAATCTGCTGAGATTTTGCTTCCTGGCAATTGTTGTCGGTTTGGCTCAAACTCATAAAAATTCTCTATGTTTGGATGTTCCTTGTGTCAACATGACCTATGAAAAGACTTTATAGTCACAGGCTAAGGATCTATCCACCTTGATTTCCTTGTTTACTAGATTCCCTCTTTTAACCCCTACAAGATGTTAATCATAAAATCCATCCTCAAGGGCAGGGGAGAGTTGAAATCTAGAGATGACTTATAGTAAAGCTTCTCAAAGTTCAGCAAGCATGCAGATCACCTGGAGATATTACATGAAATTCTGATTCAGTAGGTTCTGAGAGTCTGCTTTTCTAACAAGCTCCCAGGCTATGTGGCTGGTCTCTGGACCAATCGTTGAGTAGCAAGGGAGAGGGCTCCATATGGGAAAGGAAATGGCAAGTTGGAAGAGAAAAGGTCTTTTGATTAAAAGAGATGCCTAAGAATGGCTACAGCATGATTCAACTTTATAAAAAGCCCCTCTCTAGAAGTGCACCCTTATTCTGAAATGCATAAAAAAATTTTAAACAGGTGTTTTATGTATTTATTTAGCCAAATACAGTTCATTTCAGTGATGTGTATAGGTAAAATTTTCTGTAAGTCCAAGTAACACTTAAAAATCTGCCTGTGTATTCCAGAAAAAGAAAAAACTTGACTGCTAAAATATTGTTTTGGGAGTTCAACAGAATTTTCACAAAAGCATTTTTTCCCCCTCTAAATAGTTGTTATAAATGGAAAAGACTTTTAAATATTTAAAAAATATTTTAGACCTGAAACACTCTCTTTTCTTGTTTTCCTCCTTAGGACTTATCACCATCTGACATAGTACATATTTTACTTTTATTTATCTCTTTGCCCCAATTAAAATACATACTCCTTGAAGGCAGAGTTTCCTCTGCTTTGTTCACTGCTCTATTCCCAGCACCTAGAACAATGCCTGGCACATTGTAGACAAAAAAAACTTCTAAAAGTCCCAAAACAGAAAATCATTTGAATGAACAAATATAGAATTTCTGAAACACATCTTTAAGAAGTAGAGTAAGACAATATATCAATTATTAGAATTGTCATAAATATAATTCTCTTATGAAAATGACTCAAGCAATAGAAGAAAGATATAAATTGCAAGTGAATAATCACAGGTTTATTACATGGATTCTTCTCATTTTCTTTCATTCATTAAGAAGTTAAGGTTTAAAAAAACACACAACAGGCTCAAGAGACAGAAAATGGAACAGTGGTTGCCAGGGGCTGGGGGAATGGTGGTAATGGTTACACAATAATGCGAATGTGCTTACTGTCACTGAATTGTACATTTAAAAATGGTTAAAATAGTAAATTTTATGTTAGGTATATTTTACCACACACACTCACACACACACACAAAATTGTTCTGATCTAGATCTGCATGAATTTTTCTGTCTTCTTACCCTCTGGTTTTTTCTTTCCCTCTCATCATTGTCTTTTTCTTCCAAGGCAGTTTCTATTTACAATAAACTTAATTTCATTGTGAATTATCTTCTCAGCATGATACGTTATAGTGGTTCTGAAAAGATGGTCTTCTAACCAGCAGCATGAACTTCGTTTGTGAACTTGTTTAGAAATATAAATTCTTAGGCCCCTCTGAAGGCCTGGTGAGTTAGAATCTCTGGGGTAGGCCCAGAAACCTGTGTTCTAACAAATCCTTCAGGAACTTGGGGTGAACAGTTAAGTTTGGGAAACACTGGTCTGTTGTAGAGCATGTGTTGCCTTAATCCCACCCCCATGTAAAAGATTTTATGTCCAATTTCTATTTATGGAATGATCAAAATAAGTCATAATCCTTGAATATTACCTTCCCCACAAAGTCAATACCTCTTTTATCCAAGATATGACATATAAATTGACAAATGTAGAATTTAGAATAGACTATTACGAATAAGCAAATTTCTTGATAGATTTGCCAACACAGTGTGTGGGAAGACATCTGTAAGATGCATCTCAAGATTTTTCATCTTCTGAACATCTGTGAGATAGAGGAAGTTTTACTTTGGTGAAGGCAGTGTATATGCCAAGAAATATAGGGAATTGGCTTAAAATAAGACTTAGAGGTTATAAATTGATATATCCAACCTTTTAAAGCAATGTTTGTGTTTTGTGTGTAAATTATAGTCATTAGAAATAGAAATCAATGAGAGATGAATGAGAGCACACAAATTACAAATAAAAATTGCTACACTATTTTTACCTTTCCTCCCCCTAAATTACAATATTGTTTATATACCCTACGCTACTTACCACATGTAACGGTGCACATCCCAAATTCTACTTCTTTGACTACTTTCGTATTTGCAACTAAACATGAAATGCAAAGACACATTATTTAATCACATGAAAACTTTTCTCAGTGAAAAGCTCTTACTTGGGGATGGAGATACAAGCACTTATCATATGGGAAGCAGACATTTTAAAAGTTTTATTAAATCAGAAAAGCAATACTATTCCTAGTACATTTATTATTGTTTACAACAAAAGAAGCCTAAGCCTTTAAAGTAATAAATTAAGAAATAACTTGCAAAGAAAGTTTATACTTCACCTTTGTATATAACTTAAAAATAATTTTTTCATTAGTTTAATATATGATGAATTTAAAATGCTACAGAAAGTCAGAAAAACATTAAAAAGCCAGCCAATTGTCCCCCCCCCCCC